CATAACAAATGATTATATTCAAATTAATACAGTGACATATTACATCTAAATAAATAGTAACTTATTAAATACACTTAGAAATTATAGTATTTAAGAATTCTTACTGGACAAATGGAAAAGCTTCATCACAATTTTGCAGGACATAATGAGTGGCAGCCTTATGAAGTTCGATGCTCATCTCTCTAAGTACACCTTTCCCAAAAGCTTGACCAGGTGTTGAGAAAATAGATAACAGAGATGTATCATATGACGGTTGACCTTCATCGTCGTTTCTATCTCTTTTATTAAACTTAGTTTCAACTCGATGCAAATAGCGAGAGCAAAATATTAAACACTCATCTCCCAAGACACCTTCGGCAATAGACCCTTCTGGATGAGCCTTATTACGAACATAAGTCTTTAGTTTATGCAAATACCTAATTACGTTATAAATACCAAAATTAGAGAATCATACATCAGCAGTTAAACAAATCATGAATAAAATTAATATCTAAACATTGAGATTACCTTTCCACAGGATACATCAACCTGAATTATACTGGACCGGCCACTTTTGCCTCCCATGCCAAGTGGCAAGTTAGGTGAATCATGATGTCAAAAAAAGCAGGAGGGAATATTTTTTCCAACTTGCATAGAGTTATGACAATTTGATTGTCAAGAAGATTCAAGTCATCTTCTCTTAAAACTTTAGCACACAATTCCTTGAAAAAGTACGATAATTCAATTAAAGGCTCACTTACATCTTTGGGCAATAAATCTCGCGCCACAAACGGAAGTAATCTCTCTAAGAACACATGACAATCATGAGTTTTCATACCATAAATATTACGCTCTGAAGCATTCACACATCGAGATAAATTTCCAGAGTACCCATCTGGAACTTTTAACTCCATTAACCATTGACATAAAGCTTTGTTATCATCATTTGACAATGTATAATCGCCTGGGATAAAATAGAGCTTACCATTATCTCCTTCTTCTGGATGATACCTGTGTCTTATACCCATTTCTTGAAGATCAAGATGAGCATTTAAAGAATCTTTTGTTTTACCATCAATGCTCATCATTGTGCCAATCACATTCTCAAATACATTTTTCTCAATGTGCATGACATCTAAATTGTGACGCACCAAAAGTGTTTTCCAGTAAGGCAATTGGAAAAATATTGAATGTTTTTTCCAATTATGATCTTTTCCAAACCCAAGTATTGTATGCTTTTTCCCATCCTTGTCATGTGTTATTTCTCTTAATTCACTAAGTTCGTTTATCACATCATCACCCGATGGTCTCTTGGGTGCAAGTCTTATTTCCTTGTATTATCAAATTGGCTTCGTTAATTACGTCATACATGGTCAGACGGTAAAAATCTTCTATGACCCAAATAACATGTTTTAGACCCATGAGATAACCGACGATGCGAAGTATCAGATGCACAATATGGGCATGCCAATTTACCAGACGTACTCCAACCTAACATGTATGCATAGGCTGGATAATCATTGATAGTCCAAAGAAGTGTAGCTCTCATCTGAAAATTCTGCTTTGCATATATATCATACGTTTCAACACCAATTTCCCACAATGTTTGCAATTCGTCTATCAATGGCCTCATGTATACATCAATGTCATGGCATGGACCCTTGGGTCCTGGAATAAGTAAAGTCATGAAAACATAAGGCTCCTTCATACACATCCACGAAGGAAGATTATACGGGTATATAAGAACCGGCAAAATACTATAATGCAAATTCATGTTCCCAAAAGGGTTAAATCCATCTGTTGCCAAACCAAGTCTTACATTTCGAGGTTCCATACCAAATGACTCATGAATTTGATTAAACGATTTCCAAGCCTCAGAATTTGCTGGATGCCTCAACACTCCATCTTTTACACTATCCTTAAAATGCCATCTCATATCTACAGCTGTCTTGGATGACATGAATAATCTTTGAAGTCTTGGTGTGAGTGGAAAATATCTAAGCACCTTCCATGGAACCTTTTTACCTTTCTTTTTGCTACCCTTTCCTTGTTTCTTCCATCTCGAAAGCTTACATGTAGGACACTGCGTTGCATTTGCATGCTCCTTATAATAAATGATGCAATCATTATTGCATGCATCTATTTTATCATAATAAAGACCTAAATCTAAAATAATTTTCTTTGCACTGTTAGTGGTTGTAGGTAACTTCTCACAAAAAGGAAATGCATTTTTCAACAATGTTAGCAACATACCAAATGCTTTATTGCTCATAGTACCAATACCCTTGATATGCATAAGGTTCACAACAAAAGACAAATTAGAATATGATTCACAACCAGCGTACAATGGTTGTTCTGCCTCTTCTAACAATTTGTAAAACTTGTGCGCATCTCCATTTGGATCTTGTGGACAACCTTCTTCTATTAAACCATGCATATCATCATCTTACTCCATACTGGCCACATCATGTCCATCATTGTCACTATCACTTTCATCACTATCATCACTTTCATCAATATCCTCATCCTCACCCTCACCGTGCAAATACCATGTAGTATAATTTAGTTTAATTCCATTATAAAGAAGATGCTTGTGTACCTCATACCTCAGATGTCTATATCTATTACTGCATTTAGAGCAAGGACAGAAGATCTTAGAATCATCCGGCTTAACATGGTTGTATGCATAATTGAGAAAACTTTCAACTCCTACAAAATAATCTTCTGACGACCTCCCAGATTGCATCCAAGATTTATCAACAGGCATTTCTCTGCATAAATAAGATCCAATTAATATTAATAGAACAAACGACCAAAAATCCAGATATTAAACCTTTATCATGTTCATATTTGAAACATCACCCAAAAGTTTGACTAGCATTTGTCTGCATGCCATATATTCTTTTAACAAAATATATTATTAGCTAGGGAAGAAAACTGATTTTTTTAAAGAGAATTTGGTTATCATGTAGACCCAACAAGAAAGAAAGAACCAAACCAACGTGCCATGCATCCACCATTCACATAAAATTAAAGGAATCCAAAACAAAATTATGCTTGTATTGCAAAACCAAAGTAGCTAACATTGTCATGAAACTAAGTTGACAAACTAAGCTACAAATATAAATCCAATGCCAGTGATTGAAAATCTTTAACAGGGTACTGACACTAGCACACTGACACTAGCACACATCTTAGACATCTTATAACACAAGTACATGAACATTAATGAGAGTTATTCTCTGAAGGGTTGATGCTGTGATATGCTTTCTTAAATGACAATCAGGGAAGCAATAAGGAATGGGTGAGGTGCAGATTTGATTTGTCGGAAAATTCTTTTTAAACATGACATATTATGTAATTCTCTAAAACATCACCCAAAAGTCTCAACAGCAGCAAAGACACAGATAAATACCACAACAAAATAGACTAACAAAACAGAGTCTTAGATTTTCAAAGCAATAAATTAAATCACTGTCAGAGATCATAGTTTTGTACCAAGCTTTTCCTGCGGCCTTGATAGTAGATGCCTCCTCCTGTATAAAAAGAATTCAACACTTTAGCACTAGTGCCCAAGATCTTGCAACAGAGTAAACAAGAAGCAAAAGAATTTTAGGCAAGATGCAGAATTTTTGTACATGCTCAACTTAAATTGAGGATGGCATGTGTAACTGATGAAAACCAGTATTACATGAAGGAACCATTTCCTATATGAAGTACTACTCACATAAGATAAGAGTATGAAAAATCATAATATATTAGATGACCTCTTGAGTTGCAAGAACCAGACATCTCACACAGGCAGCTTACTGACACTAGCACACATCTTAGACTTCTTATAACACAATTACATGAACATTAATGAGAGTTATTCTCTGAAGGGTTGATGCTGCTGATATGCTTTCTTAAATGACAATCAGGGAAGCATTAAGGAATGGGTGAGGTGCAGATTTGATTTGTCGGAAAATTCTTTTTAAACATGACATATTATGTAATTCTCTAAAACGTCACCCTAAAGTCTCAGCTGCAGCAGAGACACAGATAAATACCACAACAAAATAGACTAACAAAACAAAGTCTTAGATTTTCAAAGCAATAAATTAAATCACTGTCAGAGATCATAGTTTTGTACCAAGCTTTTCCTGCGGCCTTGATAGTAGAAGACTTCTCCTGTATAAAAAGAAATTCAACACTTTAGCACTGGTGCACACATCTTAGACTTCTTATAACACAATTACATGAACATTAATGAGAGTTATTCTCTGAAGGGTTGATGCTGCTGATACCAAATTCTTAGTCACAGAAGTGCCAAAATAGAATAGTTCAGCTGTAAATTGAAGAAGAAGCCACATGAATACTCCACCCTGCAAGTCAAAAAGGAAGAAGAAAATAAGCCTAAACCCAGAGGATATTTGAAGTGCATGCATAACAATTTTACAAGGGTCATATTAACAGAGTCATTTTATCAAACAGTTGGTGGGCGAGCTTTTTACATGGATTAGAATGGAAGAAACAATATTCCATACTTAAAAATCAGTCACAGAACCATCAAATACTAGACAGATATGCTTTTATATTAAAAAAGTAGATTGAATTCAAACTTTTACACACACCAGGAAGATCAAACGCTAAGCCACGGAGACCATTATGGAGAAGGTTTCAGTGTGTGAAATTATGGAGGTCTTTTTTTTCTTTTACTGTTTTTGCTGCTGTTGAAGTTAGGGTATTAAAACTAATATGGGTAAGTTTTGGGCGTGTTCCACCCACCCCCAGCGGCTCCAGCTTTTTCTTTTTTGTTTTTATTTTTGTTTTTATTTTTATTTTTTGTTTTTTTGGGTGCTGACCAAATATGGAATAAATTTTGAAAGACAATAACTCGTGTGTGGGCTGATGATAAAGCATGATTGGGTTTCCTCAATCCATAGTTAGAATTTTGTGTTGTTTTCTTTACCTAGTTTGAACGGGTGAAGCAAATTCGTGTATTTTCAAACTTTCAGGGGAGGTCACCAAATCCAAGAAAAATAATTGAGTTCCTTAACATGGTGATATGGGAAACAAGACTACTGAATTTGGCCTAAAATGCAATACCATATCGAATTTGGATTCAAATTATCATATTTAACACATCAATGGTTTTTTCAGATTTTCAAATACTCTTGATCACATGTTCTTCCGATTGATAAAGATATCAAATTATCAAATAACATAAAAAAGTTTGATTTCCTTCATCATCACATCGAAAGAATTAAGTGAAATTATTAATGTAAATGAATTTAATTTGGATTACATTGGCCTAATTTGGATAAAGTGAAATTACTAATGTAAACAAATTTGGATTGTACTCGAATTTTGAAATAAAACTCTTTCGTACTATAAGACCATCAATTTTAGCTTGATCCTTCCTTTTGTTTTATCATTGAATATGTAACATAATGGAGTTGAAACGTACAACCGGGTATAGATAATATGATCAACACTAAAAAATATAGATGTCTTTATCAATCTCAAATAATTTAAGGAATTCAATTATTTAAGTACAAATAATATAGATTTGTCCGTTCCAACACTATTGATTTCATGAAATTGGATTCAATTGGCCTAATTCGAATTTGGATCGTAAACAAATTGGATTTGGATTACATTGGCCTAAAATGCAATGTACCATATCGAATTTGGATTCGAATTATCATATTCAACACATCAATGGTTTTTTTAGATTTTCAAATACTCTTGATCACATGTTCTTCCGATTGATCAACATATTTAAACTTGATCAAGTTTAAAATGGACTCTTTCGTACTATAAGACCATCAATTTTAGCTTGATCCTTCCTTTTGTTTTATCATTGAATATGTAACATAATGGAGTTGAAACGTACAGCCGGGAATAGATAACATGATCAACACTAAAAAATACAAATGTCTTTATCAATCTCAAATAATTTAAGGTATTCAATTATTTAAGTACAAATAATATTGATTTGTTACAGAAACTGTATATTTGACAAATAATAATCTCAAATGTGAATTTGGTTTCAAAGCCCTTTGTTTTATTTTAATTAATTAATTAAACAAAATATAAACAAATCAGCAATTAACTCTCGCTTGCCCAAAAAAAGTGGGGGAAAGCCCAAATTAATTATTTGTTTGCCGCTCAAGCCTCTTTTTTAATTTAGGTTTTTTGCTAACCCTAATAGTTATCAGTTTTCAACAGCAGCCACAAAAGAGAAAAAAAATATCTTCCATACGTCTTCTTCATACGTCTTCTCCCTAAACCCTCTTCTCCTCAGCAATATCAAGGAAGCCATTGAGCCATACAGGTAACCTACTACATTTTTGCTAATATCCATGTATTGTTATAGATATAGAAAACGTCAACTCATGCTTCACGTTGTACCGGCTCATGTGGAGGTTTGTATAGATCTTTAGCATCTTTAAAGGTTGTTATAGATATAGAAAAATGGGTATTGATATAGAAAAATGGGTATTGGGTATTAGCATACCTTTAGCAAATTGTTTGAACGGACATCATGCAATTTCCTCTTAAATTGTTTGAACGGACAGCAATCTCCTCTTTCAAAAGAGGAAATTATCTATGGCAGCCTTTAGCATACCTTTAGCAAATTGTCTTCTAGATGGATAGAAATCAATACCCATCTATGATGATACTGACATGGGTACTCATGGAAATCAGTACCTATCTAGTTTGAACGGGTGAAGCAAATTGTTTTCTCTACCTAGTTTTTCCTTTTTGGATGAATTTTTTTTAAGTATTATTTCTGATTTATGTTTTTTTTTTAAATTATGACATGAGTTCTTTTGTGATTATAAATTGCAGCCATGGCAAAAAAGAAAAAGAGCAATAATAGAGCATCACATGATCGTGAAATGCAAGAGACAAATCAAACATGTATGAGTTATTTGTGTCATATTATCAATTAAATTCTTGTTTCTATTATTTTTTACAGTTGTATTTCTATTATATGAGTTTTTAATTTTTCAATTATGTTTTGTGTTTGTATTTCTCTTACAAATGTTAGCCGTGGCAAGAAATGGAAAGAGTCAAGATAGAGCATCAGGCACTGCACATCCTCAGTCATCTAGACTCTCCTTAGATTGCCATATTTCCAATGAGTCATCACATGATAACGAAATGCAAGAAACATGTATGATTTATTTTGAATTTTGAATTTTCTTTGGT